TATTACATTTCCTTAAACAAAAGAGTTGGAGGCTGACCTGCCTGCTTCGTGCTTCTAACTTAACATTTGGGGGTTTTGGTAGAGGTATGTATTTTAAGAAAAATGCCCGCTATTTGGTACTAGTCTTAGCAATTATTAATTACCAATTACCAATGGTACTAGTCTTACCAATTATTCTTAATTTTCATTTCTAGATACACATTTTATACCTCTTTTGTCCACCCCTTTGGTTTACTATGTCCCTGCAATTACTTGCATTTTCAATAATATTGTCTCCTTCAATTTTAACATATAATGGTAGAATACCAAAAAAGACAACACCTTCAAAACCCCAATGTTAAAAAACACCTTATATGGGTGTGAGCGTTTTGGAGAAGAAATAAGAAAAGATTATCTGAAATTTTTTTACCTCTCTCTGAAATTATTTTTAGCATCTGATTATTCTTGCTAAATAAATATCAAAAGCACTGAGTTTTCCATAGAAAAGTATTCCCCCCCACACTCTTCATTTTTGCAGCATAGAGTTCATGGATTAACTGTTGAAATGAGAGTAATGGGTGCTTGTTTTCTGGGAAACTCTCCAGATTTCCAAACGCAAAGCACATGCAGCCCCTTATTAGTAAAATACTGTAAATTCAGTGGCGCTCTTTAGTGGTGAACATGCATCATTAAATACTTTTAGCACCAAGGCATTTTTTTTTTATTGTTGCAAAAGCAAACACCTAGGAGGGTGATTGTCTTATTTAACCCTTCCTAGGGCCGAGTAAAAATGAATTGCCTGAAATAAAACCTCTTCAAACATACACAGGTCTGATTCTAATGCAACAAGAAGTCTGGGACAGATACAGCCAGCAGCATCCTGGAAGAGGAAGGAGAGAGAAGACAGAAAAGATAAAGTGCACAAGGCAACTAACTTCGCCTGCCAGCCAATGGCATTCCCTTACTACGGAAGAGGAAACACAAATACGTGTCAAGGCTACCTACGAGTCTGTATAGCAGAGAACTAGCAGACCTGCAGTCTAGGCAATGATGGGATTATACAGTATTTTGGTATCTATCTGCTACTTAGAATAATCAGTATGCACCTATATATCAATAGTTATATTCGAGTTCTGTTCTATGATGTTTTAAGTACACACACAATCATAAAATATAATTGGCTACCACCCTAGGCTTGGGCTTGCCTCCTGCTCCTGGGTGCACTGGAGAATTCCCAGATGTCTCAAGTTCATCCAAACTATGAAGCTTCTCTTTGGTACACAAACAGTTTCTACAAAACAGGGTCCAAAAAGAAACTTTCCAGCTCCAAGTCCACCAAAAAATGCAGGCTGGAATTGTGGAGTGAAGAATTTCCTCGGTGGTTAGAGATAGTGTAAGACGGCCATTACCTGCACTAGGCCCTATGCCCTGTTACTCCCTTCTCTGAAGGCTGACATTTCCAAGTGCATGCTGCAGTTTGTTGTCATGGCTACTAAAGGTCACAATTGGGGTCAGGGGTTTGGTATGTATTTTATATATGCTCATTTAAACTCCTTATTAGGAATCTTAAAACTGAGATTCACCAAAAAAAAAAAAACCTCATGGAAATGTTAATATTCTGAAAGAAAGAAAAATATACCTGAAATCCCCAAAGCTCAGATTCAACAAATCTGAACTATGTTTTGTCATAATATTTCATTTCAGAAACTCTGCTGAGACTTGATGTTAACACTCAAATTGGATTTGTTCTACATTAAATATGAACTATCAATAAATATTTGAGGTATGTTATGACAAACAATTTTTAATAGAACACTTAGCTAAAGAAATGTAAATTTACCTTGAAAATCTAGTTAAACATTAAATCTCGATGTTTCCTACCAATGTTTCCTATAGTTTTTTCAGTTTACACACACAAAAAATAACTTCTCTACTCTTCAGAAACAGTAATACGTCAAAAAATGAAATGCTTTAACCTCACTATTTTATAGTCACATCTTGTCTTTTTTTTTTTTTTTTTTTGAGACAGAGTCTCACTGTGTTGCCCAGGCTAGAGTGAGTGCCATGGCGTCAGCCTAGCTCACAGCAACCTCAAACTCCTGGGCTCAAGCGATCCTTCTGCCTCAGCCTCCCAAGTAACTGGGACTACAGGCATGCGCCACCATGCCTGGCTAATTTTTTCTATATATTTTTAGTTGTCAATTAATTTCTTTCTAATTTTAGTAGAGACGGGGTCTTGCTCTTGCTCAGGCTGGTTTTGAACTCCTGAGCTCAAATAATCCGCCCGCCTCGGCCTCCCAGAGAGCTAGGATTACAGGCGTGAGCCACCGTGCCCGGCCCACATCTTGCCTTTTTAATCAAAAACTATTGTTTGCATCATGTAGCATAAGAAGTGAATAATGGAGTCAGGGAAACTTATCTCTGAATCCTGACTTTGCCATTCTGTACAATTCTAAACAAGTTACTTTACCTCTCTGAGCCTTTGTTTCATATCTGTTTAAAAAAAATAAAATAAAATCTTTGCAAGGTTATTAAAAGAATTAAAATGAATGATGCTTAAGTGCTCGACAAAATGCTCTGCAAACAGTCAACACTCAACAAATGCTAATTTGTTTCCTCTCTGCTCCTCCATTCTCCTCATCCCCAATACCTTGATTCTGAATAACTTTTGACTATTTTTAAGAATTAAATCTCAAAGGACTTAAGAATAAGGATTTGATGCTAATGAAAAGAACCAAAAGCATGTGTTTCAACTACCCATCCCACCCTCTGGGAGTTTCTAAATTAACAATACTAAATTCAAGGATATTATATTTGCATATTAAAGCCAAATAACATATTAATTTACAGAGTTTATAAAGGAACAAGATGATCTTTTGCCAAAACAAGTAATTTGAAGCCTAACCTCATGGAAGGTGGTAATTAAAACTTCTAATAGGAGCTGTGACTATAAAGCAACATGACCCATTTATTAATAAACATCTAAGACCTTATATATACAATGAAATGGTATCATCTAAAATAGTCACTTTAGTTGGCTATGAAATATTCCATGATCCTACCATAGCCCAAAGTATTTTGGGAACAACTCTTATGGGTACATATTCCAAAACTTTATTTTTTCACAATTTTTACTACTTAGTCTATATTCACCAACAACACATTAATAATATACCTGCTATTCAAAAGTAGCATATACTTGAGGAAGTACAACATTAACATTGTGGTGCACATTTTAGGCCAATGTCTTTGAGTTCTGGTCTAATCATCCCAAAGGATTTCATGGAGTTGCAGATGGCAATCAGGTAAAATGTCACCTGACAGATAACTGGTGCTCGGCCAATCACTGCTGAAATGGATGACTGTTCAAGGTAGAGGCGGGCGTGGGAGAGGCTCTCTATTTACCCCTGGTAAGTGTAACCATCTTAACTATTAATACAAAAGAAAAAAAAGGCCAATCCCACTAGAATTCTCTCAATGCAGTATCCTAATGATCAGAGGAAAATTAAGAAAACACCAGCCCTCTGCAACCTACACATCTTTAGCTCCTTCACCAAAGGAAACCTTCTCTTCTAAAAGATCAGAGATCTCCCATGGAGGGTAAAGGGGAACTGTGAGGCCCCAGAGTAGACACTCGGTTAATCAGCAAGGTTTTCTGACAACCTTCAATACACATCACATTGACCAAAGTCTAGCAGATACCAACGCAATTACAGCCTTAGCTAAGCAAGACTGCTCACCTCCCTGAGAGCCAAGCCCAAGAGCCTAAGGGAAGTCCTTGTCACCTGAAACCACTAGTTCTACCCGTTGTAGACATTATTCAGTCTAATAGTGATAACGCTCTCCATAAATTGAATGCAACCAAGAGATCTAGTTGACCAATGTCCTTCCTAGGCAGAGAAGAAAACAACCCTGTATCCAGGAATATTCACAGAATTCCAGTTGTGCAGCCAAGCAAGGATGGAGGGCAAAAGCCTGAATCACAAAAGGTCTGTCAATCACATTTGTTCTGTGGATGAGCGTGAACCAGAAGAGGAAGCCGTTTCCCAAATAAGCCCTACATAAGCACGGGCTCCTGGGCAGAAGCAGTTCACAACCATATCTGTATTTGGACCTTGCGGTCCCTCATAGCCATATCCCATGAGCTGACCTGCCGTCAGTCCCTTAGTGCTGCCAGGAGGCATCAATCTTAAGAAACATGCAAAAAGCATCCAGTGTCGGGCCTAAGTCAAAGTGATGTGCTGGGAGGTGCTGAACAGAATGATGGATAATGAACCCAAAGTGCATTTTAAAAAACAGAAAAATCCTCCCTCAGAATCACTACCGGAAGGTTACAGTAGGAGGAAATCAAGGTGGGGGGGTATAAAATGATTCTAACTCTGATAAAGCAGGAATCACTATGATAGCCTGGTTTATTTTAAATAATCTTCAATCATTATTTAGGATTATATTCTCGGCCCAGCTCATAGATTTCCCTCCTCCTGTATGCAGAGTGTTTTTTATATCCCAAGTACAGCTTTCCTGATGTCATCACTCATTTTTAGAAGCAAGCACGGCAATTTTCCAACCAGAAAAAAAGAAAACAATGCAGATTTGCCATTGCTTTCGAGAGACAGCTAAAATGCTCAGGGGGGATTTTTCCCAATGACTTCATGGACCCTTAAGAACTAAAGGAATTTCTACAGCAATTTCCTTGGATAAGAAAGCCATCTGCTTCTTTCCTTATGATGCATCTCAAACTATAGTTTAGTCATATTGTTTAGCACACTAGTTTTAAAGCTCCTTATGAAAGAATACTGGAGTTTATATTCAAGCCATCAAATGTATGACTCAGCAGCTTCTTTAACTACCTTATGACAGGGCAGTCAGACTAAGAGAGAAATGTGTCTCCTGAAATGAAGTAGCTGTTTCTTTTATCTTGCTATGCATATGGTTCCTTTGAAGCATCTGAAAATTCTACCTGATTTAGAACTCTGCTATGGCTTAAAATGCTATTAACAGTACCGTAGGGAAAGTTTAGCTTCCTCTTTCAAAACCATATCTGTGAAAGCAAAAAGTAACATGCTGCACTTACATTTTCCCAATCAAATTGCATAGTTGAAGCAAATTCATTTGTGCTTTGTAGCAGAACTCACAGTAGGTGTTCATATCTAAAAACGTTGATTCGTAAATGCAAAGTCATGGTCAAGCTCACCTGTGTGTGGAGTGTACGCTAGTGATATGCACCACCATTCCCCTTCCCGTGATTTTGTGAACCATGTACCCCTGGAGCATGAACTTTAAATTAACATGGCGGAAATGGTAGCAAATCTGTCTAACCTCCTCCGTCTTGGGGCGGCGGGGTGGAAGGCTTGCAGTCTTGTTGAGGTATCCAGCCCTCAATCAATAGTGGCTGTGTATACTGAGTTTTGTTGGTTTGAGGATTGTGTCTGCAGAGGTTAAAAAAAGAAAGAAAAGAAGGCACGGTTGTTTCTCAAGTCGCCATATTCGACTCAACCAACAAAACTAAATCCTTCCATCTTCGAGCTTCAGGAAGGCTGCTACATAGCAACAGGGCTCTCCTCCGGCCCTGGGTCTGCAGAGGAACTTATTGCTTCTGGGAAGGGCCCCGGGTAGGTCTGTGCTGTGGTCCCTTTTTGCAGACCAGTCTCTTCGTGGAATTCTCCCTGGGTGCTGAAAGCGGGGCAAGATCTAGTCCGGGCGCTGTCGGGGCGGCCCACCCTCTCACTCACAGTGCTCAGGGGGAACTCTCTCCACCTCCGCCTCTGCAGTTCATCCTCCTTGTATTTTATGGAGTACCAGGCCAGAAAAATAAAAATAAAGCCCACGAATTTGAGGCCGGCCGCCAAACCAAAGTAGACGAAACGAAACGACGTCACGTTGTACTCCCAGCAAGAGCCCTGCACTCCGCATTCCTGCTGCCAGAGCATGCAGGTGGTATCAATGACTGCTCCAAAGTAAATCGGAGTAGGAATGTATGCTAGAGTTGTGCACAAAAAGAAAATACACAGATTTAGCATATCTTATAAGAGAAAACAGATTTGTAAATTAGCAAGGTACTTATGTGCTCTAAAACCAGTTTAGGGGAGTGATTTTCTTGTCGTTTGTTTTTTTTAAAGGTACATCACATTTTATCACAATATATTTATCATAAAAACATTAGCCAAACGGTAAATACTTAAAATCTTCTAGTTCTAGTTTGCAACTCAGAACGTGCTATTGATTTTTAGCATCATAAAAACTTCTGTTGCTTACATATGTATATCAAATGATCACGTTGTACACTTTAAATAGATACAATTTTATTTGTCAATTATACCTCAATGAAGCTGAAAAATATCTATTGCTAAAAATGCAATTGGAGAATCCTTTTAAACTTAAAAATTTCATTTTGTCATTAAATACTCAAGAAGCTACACTGAAACTCTTTAATGCCCACCAAAATTCAGTACACTTAGTTCTTACGGGTTGAGTTCCAGTCCTCGGATGCAGGGAGAGTATGAGAAAAGCATTGTCTCCCATAAGTGAGATACCACATCAAATGGCAACTTTATAAAGGCACTTATAAATATAAAATATTTTAAATATAAAAGAATTTTATTATGGCATAAAATTCATCTTTGAAGCTTACGAAACATCTGAGATGAGTAGTAGCTTCATCGTTTGAGCTAAGGTGTAGACACGTCTTTAATCCCATAAGAAATAAAGTCTACCTAGTACATGGGCTTCCTTCATCACACGCTACAGCCTTCGCCAAAATGTGCCCCCAACCCCAACTCATTCACCCTGCAAATGTCTGCCCCTCCTTTAAATTCCTGACTCACTCAGATGCCACTGTGTTCTCACTCCATTTTAGTAACTGTCACATAGTATTTAAACTGTTTGTAAATCTGTCACCCTTCACGATGGCAGGGGCCATGCCTTCTATTCTTTGCATCCCAGGGACCTCAATAACAGTTTACAGAAGAAAGTGATGGGAGAGAGCAGGGGAGAAGGGAAGAAAGGAAAGATGGGAAGAAGGGAGCCAGGAAGACAGAAAGGTGTGTGAATAGCCCAGGAAGCTGTAAGTGATACATCTTTAAATAAGTTGTTTTCATTCAAATAAGGTATCTCGATTAAATTGTAATATTACTAAAGTTTTTTGTAAACTATTGTTTTGCTTTGGAATTTTAGGGAAATGGAAATTGGCTTGTTGGTCTAATTACACTTTTTCACAACAATAGAAGTGAGGATAAAGTTGCATTAAACAGTAAATGTCTAAAGTATTCTTCATTCACTTATTCTATTTACGTATTATTTATTTATTTATTTTTATTTCGAAGTATTAAGGGGGTACAAATGTTTTTGGTGGATCACTTCTGTAATGCTTGAGTCACGGCTGTAAGTGTGCCCATCACCCAAATAGTGTTCATTGTACCCATTAGGTAGGTTTTTGTTCCTCCTGTTCTCCCCCCTCCCCGCTGCTTGATTTCCACTAAGTTTTACATTTCTCTATGCACATGTGTGCTCATCAGTTTCAGTTTAATAACAAGTACATGTGGTGTTTGTTTTTCCATTCTTTAGATACTTGACTTAGCATAATGGTCTCCAGTTCCATCCAAATTGTTGCAAAAGGCATTAATTCATCCTTTTTATGGCTGAGTAGTATTCCATGGTATACATATACCACATTTTGTCAATCTATTCATATATTGATGGGCACTTGGGTTGATGCTACATCTTTGCAATTGTGAATTGTGCTGCAATAAATATTCACGTGCAAGTGTCTTTTTGATAAAATTACTTATTTTCCTCTGGGTAGATACCCAGTAGTGGGATTATGCTTTCACTTATTCTTGATGCTGCAGTGTGCATCTATTGACTCACCTTACCTCCAGATCCATATCAAATAACCCCAACTCCAGGGGATCAGAGGGAGTGGAGCAAAAAGAAGAAATTATTTTTTCCTTTTTCTGGTCAACCACTCCTTTGATGAACATATTTCCTTCTTTCTAAATAACATTTTTTTTTTTCCGAGATAAGGTCTTGCTCTGTCTCCTAGGCTAGAGTGCAGAGGCATCATCATAGCTCACTGTAACCTCAAACTCCTGGACTCTAGTGATCCTCCTGCCGCAGTCTCCCAAGTAGCTGGTCCTACATGCGCACACCACCATGCCCAGCTATTTTTTCTATTTTTTGTAGAGGCCGGATCTTGCTCTTGCTCAGGCTGGTCTTGAACACCTGGCCTCAAGTGATCCTCCCACCTCAGCCTCCCAAATGCCTTTCTAAATAACACTTTATAGTTTTCAACAAGAACTATAAGGCAAACTTCTTAACTATATCTAAGTGTGTCAGAATTTCCTTTAACCGGCAACCTTTTAAAAAATGGTACCTTCAAAATTTTATTGGTATCAAAAAACAAGTCATCCATTAAATGGAACTAGAAGCATTTTCCTTCTGGGGTTTATGAAAAGTGCTTGTTCTTGGACTGGGCCATCAATCACAATATACAATAAACCGAGAACATCAGAGAGGATTAATGCTTCAAAGGGGTCAGATGATCCCATTTTGAAATGTTTCACCCTTCAAAACTGAAATAAGAAATTTGAATCAAAAAACAAATTTTTTTGTCCCATGGACAATGATACTGATTACTTGGCAAAAAAAAATAACAGCTGAAGAAAATGACAGACTGACACTTTAAACAAATTACTTTTAAAAAAAGGACAAAAGAAGCTCGATGATGAGGAAGTCAATTAAAAATGCATTGAAATTGATCAAGGGAACGGTGTACTTGACATGCTTATTTCCAACTCATTGTCCCAAGACTTCACAGGGTGATGTGGTGTTTGCAAAAATGAGAACGATTTTCTTCATTCTTCATGTGCAAATGTGCTCTGTAGTTTATCACACTGACACAGCACTAAGGAGCTTCTCTTGTTGGCAAGTAAAGCCTAAAGGGTAGTTTCTATATGTCACTTTGGGGACCTTTCTTTTTCCTTTTTATAATTTTTTATTTCTCTTTTCTTGGAAAACTTGATAGGTATACTCTTTGGTCAGTCCAATAAAATTACCGTAAGGAAGTAAGGAACTGAAAATTTCACAAATAAACTGAACACCAATTTCTATCACTTTCATATTAAAAAGGCATAAAGGGACGAAATCGCCAGGATTACAAACCCATTACAAACTGCTTGATTTAATATTTCTTACTGCACAAAACTCTCTGGGGAATTTTACCCAAAATTTTATGTTCACAATGAAAAAGAAACTAACCTAAAGTTGGTTTTACTTTGTTTCATCAAACGACAGAACTTGTCAGCTTTCAGTTCAAACCAAAAAATAGGGAAGTTGCTCCCTCACCACTAACCTGTAAGATCTCACTAATGGTAATAAATAATGTGACTTGCCATTTTTAAAGGACAGTTGAGAATTTGCCGTCTGCAAAGAGGAACTAAAAGGCACACCTGGAAATTCAGAAACGTACCAAGTGTTCGCAGCAAAACAAACTGCATTCCCAGCGCGAAAGGTCTCTCTTCATCTTCTACAGACCTACAGTGAAGGGGAAGAAAGAAATGTTTTTAAATAGTGGCCCCAAGAAAATGAACGTCAAATCAAGTCTGCTTCATGCAGACCTGGGGACTAAAAAGATGCTGTACCAAAATATTTAATTCACTGGGATTTACTAACAACAGCCAAGCACAATTGCTGATGGCTAAATCACGGAATAAAAGTCTCCCCAGTGAAGACACCAAGGAACTCTGATTAATTCTAATTGTTTCCATGTAAATACTGGTGAAGGGTCAAAGGCTCTTGGCTGAAGATGTCAAAGGGGCTCTAACTGAGCTTCCAAAATCGGATAGGTTATTTTAAAAAATTATAGATTTCCAACCTGAATATTGCTTTCTTTTTCTCTGCACTTTCCAGAATGGTAGATGTGTACACTGAAAACTACTCCAATATTCCTCCAGGATAAAAAAAAAAAAAAAAGTAAAAAAAACAAAAACAGAAAGTATACTCAAAAAATGAACAGGAAACAAGTCAAATGTCAGAGAATGCCTGAGCCCCGCCAACCACCTCTTTTTTTTTTTTTATTCTTCTCTAAAACTTATGTTCCAAGTAATTCCCACATGGCAGAAAGAGTGGAGTCTTTTGACTTATAATTAGCAAAGATTAAAGGGCTCCTTGTTGAAATCTGGGGTTAGACGCCAAGTGGTGATTTGCCAGATTTGACCACTATAAAAAAGGGAGCCTGTCTATTGGTTATTTAACGGCTCTTGAAGAATTAAAGTGCAAAAAATTAGACTATTTGAGTACATTTATTAATGATTCACGTATCTTTTTAAATGCTGCAGTACCTTATCCTTTCTATCCCATACCCATGGGGTTCTAGGCACGTAACTTTCCCAGGCTAGTGCCCTGTAGTCTTTTCCCCAATTTCGTTATTTCTCATAGCAATTTGCCCACTGCTGGGCTGTTACTCCATAAATATCTGCTGATGGAGGAGTTGAGTGAATAAAGGCCTTTCATGTGTCGTTACCTCGCTGTCGAGGAATGGCTTTGCTGGGAAATGCCAGACCCCGCACCCGATAGGAAAGAAGCCAGAATACGTGGTGCAGCCTAGCTGCCCTCACCGAGCGGTGCCCTCAGCAGCTGCTTCCTGCCAGGCGCCCAGCCCAGCAGTTGTGGGTTCTGAGGAGGAAGGAAGAATAAGGACAGCCTCGCTGCCCTCACTCCCTCATTGCACTACACCCCGCGCCCCAGGCCCTCTGAAGCTACCCTATACCCCAGAGGGTGCTCTTCCGGCTGCACCACACTGCCCCGTTCCTTCCTGTGCTCACAGCCATCCTTATTGCAAATAGCAACACACTGATTTGAATGTGCCACTGTCAACATTTTTAACAGGACAGAAATATTAATAGCTTCCATGTCCTCTTATAAACAAAAAACCCAAACAGGATACGGCAAAGAAAGCACAGCCTGAACAGCCTGCCTTTTCTTGATTCAAGTCCAAAATTTTATATATGACAGTAAAATTAATGAACTCAGCAGTCTGAATTTCAGGCTCAGCATAAATCGCCTCTGATCCTGGAGGTATTAACTGTCTACAAGGTTGGAGATAATAGCCTTTTGCTGTACGCACGATTTAGCAACCTTCCCGAATTACTTCCTGCCCTTCTCCTGGCTTCTGGTAGCTGACAGGGTGATGACTTTCAACTCCTGGAGTGGAGCCTCACAGGGCAGAGCCTTTGAGAACCAAAGACACCCAAAAGAAGCTTCACTAAACAGTAGAAATATAAACCAATTGAATAAAGACAGCTCTGGAGTATGAAATGTTACAACCTCCTTCCCCTCCCGGCAGGGAAAACCTCCTAAGTTCGCCAGGCGAACGTCTGAACAGCCTCCTGCACAATCTAATTTTGCTTTGGTATCTGATTTGCCACATCAATCCCTTGTCCTGGAGTATGTGCTCTGGCAATTGTAAGTATAGACTCCCCCCACTCCCCCACCCCCTCCCCCCGAAGCTGAAGGCTGTTCTCACCTGAGTGTTACAATGATGGCTGATGGCTGGGCACATGCCGTGATGAAAGTGACTATGAAAAGAAAAACTAAGAATGGGATAAGGGTATTACAGGTCCGTTTACACTTCCCGGACACAGCGTAGCCGTTCTCGTTGAGATACGTTTTGACGATCACCACTCGGAGCTGACTGCGCTGTCCCACCGTGGGTGGGGTGATCACTTGTCGACTTTGGACACAGGTGCATTCTGTATAATTCCGTATCTAAGTGAGCAAAATAAAGATCAGTTGTATGCCAACCAAAAGCAAAATATGGCATAGGGACGTTAAGACAAAGTTAAGTAAAAATACTCTAAAATAACTCTAGTACTTAAAAAACGCAAAATATTTCATTGACAGTGCCTTCCTTACTGATAATGGTGAGGGTCCAAAGTGTGTGCCTAACAATACCAAAATCTACTGGTCAAAACTGTTTTAAAACTAAACTTTTCTAAGAAGCTTCTATCAATTCAATAACATTCACAGTCTGTATTCCCATTTTTGGTCATAATTATATACTGCCTCAGTTGCTGTTTAACTCTTGGACTCTCCAATTAGAGAAGCCCCTCAAAAACCGGAACCAAACTTTATTTTCATTTGTGTTAATCAGAGCACCCAGCACAACCCTGAGCACAGAGTGGGCCCTAAAGTAGTAAATGTCTGTTAAATATATGCAGAGAATTTATAATGCAACCATGATGACTTCAGTACCAATAATAGTGAACAGCTCATTGGCTGTTCCATTTTAAACACCTTTTTAGTCTCCTTAATTAGCTGGTGCCCGGCACCCTATGCCTACTCTAGGAATGGCTACAATGGTCCCCATCCAGTGCTACTCCTAGACTCCGACAGAGTCAGACAGTGAGCCCAAATTCACTTGTTCATTTTTTCCAACAAATATTTATCAGCCCCTACTGATGTGCCGGGTGCTGTTCTGGGGGACTAAGGACACAGAAAAGCAAAAAAGTCCAAATCTTCTCTGTTAACTACCAAACATCTACTTAACGCAAATGCAAACGTGAAAACTAAAACATGGGTAGGTGCTACAATCCAAAACAAATCAACAAATGTTGAATCAGCCAATTAACCTTCCTCCTATTATATTGCTTTTCAGTGAACGGACTCAGCTGAACCAGTTCTCTCTGTAACCTTTTAATGCTTAGAACAGACATAAAAACAAGTATTAATATGAAGATGGGCCGCTGGCCATCGTGCTCAAAGGACTGCTGGGTTTTTAAAGGAATAAGTGCTATGCACCAGAGGACTCGCTCTCTCCCAAGGAAGGACTCAACCACTGACAGGAATAGATCTCATCAGCTCTTTCAACTCAGTCACACCCTGGAACTCACAAATTATATTAAATATAGTGGGGAACCAGCAACAAGAATTCTCAATTTATCGCTGTGGTTTAGAATCCAGAAATCAAAAATGACATCCCCAAAATATGCAATCAATGGTATCATCCCTTATCACCTGCACAGAACAAGCAAATGCATTTTAATCTTTTAATTTAAGCAACTTCCTGCAATCTGTTCTTACACAAAGAATCAAACCAGGCTCAATAATGAAGAACTGAGTAGAATATGAAAACCTTCTCCCACAGTATTACTACCTATTTATAATTCATGGGAAAGGGAATTCTCAAAATAGCCTATTCTTGAGCTGACAGATATATCTTTATTCTGAATTTTTTTTTAAAAAAGTCTGAGGCTGGGCTTGGTGGCTCATGCCTGTAATGCTAGCACTTTGGGAGGCTGATGTGGGAGGATCACTTGAGACCAGGAGTTCAAGATCAACCTGGGCAATATAGCAAGATCCCTGTCTCTACAAAAATTTTAAAAATTAGCTGGGTAGGTGGCATGCATCTGTAGTCCTAGCTACTTGGGAGGCTGAGGCAGGAGGATTTCTTGAGCCCAGGAGTTCAAGACTGCAGTGAGCTATGATCAGGCTGCATTCCAGCCTGGGCAACAGAGTGACACCCTGTCTCTTAAAAAAAAAAAAGTCTGAACTGAACTGATAGTCTATGAAAAATGGCCATCTCCCACCTTCACAGATTTCAGTCAGTGGAAGTCGCTTTCCTATTTTCTTCTATCAGCACCAAACGTGGTCATCTTGACCTTCAAATCCACCACAAGGGCCTTGTCAAAGGAACAGATGGGAGGCTTGGAGCTCAACCTTATCAAGTTTCACTGAGTTGGCACGGAATGTAAAGTAGGAGAGGGCTAATAAGGAACCAAATCCCTACATCCAAATGCTGCAATCCCCGGGAAAAAATTGATAGCATTGCATAATTTTCTTTCCTCTACGTTTTCATCAGAGATATTTTCTAAGTTACGTGGAGCCTCTAGCAAAGGGAGACCGAAGTCATCGCGGTTGCATATGAATTCTATCAAGTCCTTGTCACAGGATGTTGGATCGACAGAAGAGGAACTTGTGAAATATACTCACCCCAGTGCTAAGATTACCACTATTAACACAGCCAGCCAGACAAGGGTTAAAGTATGTAATTCCATCTGACCCACAGACTGGCTCATACTCATGTATTTTACAACCACAATTGACGTTGCAGCTTCCCGTCAGATTCCTATGGGGCATGGTGAGGGAGGGTCTAAGAGAGAAAAGAAACAGATCCTGAGCACCACTTACCAAAATAAAACTAAGAGGAAAGTTCTTGAAATTTAGTAATTTGTCCATTTTAGAGAAGATATTCTTCCCATTAAATCAAAACTGTGATACCATGAAGTAGCCACCCTCAATAATTATTTTTATGCTTTTAAAAGAAAACATAAAGAAAAATGTTTCAACCCCCTGGTACTATGGATTCAACGCTTTTTATCAAATTATCTGTCCCACCGCGATTTTATCCTGCATCTTGGTGCTATGGTCTCAATGTCTGGGCTCTGCAATTCTAGCCCTAGCATAACTACTCATTTGCTGTAGATACTTGGCTCTATAGAGTCTTATCAAATCTGGGCATTGATCTCCTTAACTGTAAAACAGAGGAAATAATTTTCAGTGCTAAATCGAAAACATCAGTATGAACACATAAACATGGAATCCACACCAAAAACTTTAATCGTTCTAGAATAAATTATCAAAGGAAGGCACGGGACTCTAGAAAATCAAAAGGAAGTGATCTTTCAAAGATGGTTAGGAATTACATCGCTGATTCGATTCAAACGACCAGAGAAGAAAGATTAAGCAGTTCTTCCCCCAGGAATGCTGAGATGTGAATTCACAATCAAACATGGTGCGTTTTGTTTTCTTATAAGATCGTAGTATCTGATACAAGAAATGATACAAGATGAAAGCTCTAAGAAGATCAATTCAGGCAATAAATACAGAGGAAGAAAAAGACAAGGACATAGGGCCAGGGAGAGAGGTGTAAAGAGATGGTGGGGGAATAGCAGAGGCAGGCACCACAGAAGAATGAGAGGGGCTCTACGGCGCTCACACCCCAAGACCTCTTTCGCTTTTAGTGGCCACCATTTTTATGCATCACTGATGAAATACTGTTCCTAAAGCTAGATGGGTTGGCAATAGCAGATCCTTCACTTGTCCATCCATCAGTCTAGTATCCATCCATTCAACAGATACTTTGGAATGTCTGTTATGTGCCAGGACCCATCTTTACGGATTGTATTAGTACCACTTAGCCAGTAGTATAGCCCATCCCAACCACAGGTATTAATCTACCAACTTTAAGTATTGTTTGCTCAAAGGATCTTCTCCTGTGGCCTCCTTCACACTTTGATACCTGAGCCCCCAAATTTTAATGGGAGAAACAAATTCAAAACAATATTAAAGTCTTATCAAGAAAGGCTTCTAACAAGGCGAACATCAAATAAACTCTGTTCTTCATGTCACTCCAAGGAAAGAAATTATCACAAGACTTTGATAATTATTATTAATATGTTCATTAACTTAGTATCATACCATCTTAAAGTTTGAATATACCTAAAAAAATATGATTCTAGACCAGTGGTTCTCGACTGGGGTAATTTTGTGCCCCAGCAGACATTTGGCAATGCCAGGGACAGCTGTGGTTGTCATAACTGAAGGAGTGCTACGGGCATCTAGTGGGCAGAGACCAGGGATGCTGCTCAACATCCTACGATGCACAGGACTGTCCCCCACCTCCCACAGTAAAGAATTATCTGACCCAAATGTCAACAGTGTTGAGGACGAGAAACCCTGTTCCAGACCAACTATCACATTCTACAGATGACGAAATGGAGGCCAAGAAGCCAAGTGATTCACCGTGAAGCTGATGAGTGCTGTGTTGACTGCTATCATGTGAAAAGTACTCAGTGTGTATTAGTGCTCTCTCCACCAGCACTTCAAGAACCAAACTACAAGCCACGACCAAATTAAAGGGCTTTTATATGTCTGCATGCTTAGTCACTAAAAATGACAGGCTTTAATACCATAGCAGTGGTTATTGTTATTGCTAGTCAGAAGTTACATGGCATTTCCTATTAACAGCATGCTCTGCACCCATTGTGACAGCCACAGATTCCAAATGCCTCTCCTTTATGAGTCTGTCCACTCAAGAGAAAGGAACCTAAAGAAAATATTAACAGATGCTCAAAGCACACTAAGTGCACTGATTTCAGGAAGGCAAAAACTTTTCTGAATTTAGAAAACAGAGGCACAGTCCCAGGTCACCCTTTGGTATGTTTGCTTTTCTCATTAGATCGCGGTATGTGATAGGAAGCAATGATACAATACGAAAAGCTCAAAAAAAATCAATACAGGCAACAAATATAAATAGCAATGAAAGGAAGTGGGCATTCAGGAAAAAGTCATTAAGGGAAAGGAATGATGGCACAAAAAAGAAAGCTGCTGACACAGGGAAATTTTTATACTATACTGATTAAAAAGGAAATCATTTTTAAAAGTAATAATGTCTTGTTTGATTATCATTCATTCTCCAGAAAACAGACTAGATTCTATTAATAATAATAGTGTGTTTAAATCTGAGTGCCACTACACAATCTCTCATTAACCTAAAGTGAACCCGTCATGGGGCCATAAAATGCACAAGGGCTGATTACTATATGCTGCACTGATCCTGCTGCAAAAGGACTGTGCATCACCTTTCCAACAAATGAAAGCATTTCTGACAAAACAGTCCTCCAAATAAGACACTCACAGTAACTCATGAATCAACGTAAGTGTTAATTTCAAGTAAGGCATAAGACCTCACTAGAAAATACTTTATAACAGTATGATCCAAGCTGTAAGCCTGAGAATCACACATAATACTTTACTATGAAATCATGAATTATAGAGCTAGAGAGATGGAAGGGATCTCTGAGATTACCTTGTAAACTTGCTAACTTTAAAGAATAGGAATCTATCAGAAGTATGATAATAAGCTCCACAATCACTGAGGCCTCAAGAAAACCAGCCTTGGAGAAACAATAAAAAAGGGAACGAGAAGTAAAAATAACAGTCTTGTTGTCCAATCTTTACTAAATCAATCACTTAAGGATTAATGTTTATTTAAAGTAATATGTAACAACAAAACAGATTGTTGTTAAACATAAGTTAAAAAAAAAAACAAAACCTCTGCCATAGGGCCATTACAGCTGGGTATGTAAGAATTCAGTTGCCCTAAAAACACACACCCACCCCCCAAACAATTTTGTCCCATCACCCTACCCCAAGATGTAAAGAACACTTGAACTTCCCCATCTAACATACTTTTACTGGTGTCTATAAATCAAAGAGAAATCTTCTAACTTTCTTTCTGTCTCCTTTTAAGCTTCTCCCCATTAAAAGATATGACAAGTAGGAATCCATCCATACTATGCTAAAGCCACATGAATTAACATGCTTCACATAGCAAAAACCTCTTTAGCAAAATATACTAATTAATTAGAAAAAATTGGTATCTTTTTCATAATTTCTTAATCTTCATCAGTTTAACTCAGCCTGCAAGAAGACTTCAATTAGAATGTTTCTTTTCAACTCCACTTAAACTCTTGGCTTTATATTAAAATCTTTCCCTGGTTATACAGAGTTATGCAACTTCATGTGTATAATCATCATCATCATCATTATCATTTAAAAGTAACATTAGCAGACTCCAGTTTTATCCCATGAATTGTGCACTGCGATTTCTAAGTTACCTCATTCATGCCTTGTGAGAATTATATTATTGCTGTCACTCCATCTTTCAGATGAGAAAATTGAAGATTTGAGAGGACAGGTACTGCCAAAGGTCACACAGCTAGTAAGGGTCAGAAATGGATTTAAAACCAGTTTTACCTTTCTCCATAGTGTGTACCCTTAAGCCCCAACATCAGCAGGGCAGCTTTGTGTAACTGTCCATAGTTTTGCTTTCTCTAGCAAGGGTCTTCTGGGTAGCTCATCCCCCTTCCTGTACTTCCTGGAGAAAAATCTAATGAAGTTTTTCTGGCACTCAGCTTTCAATGCTCCTAAACAGTAGAGTAAGAAAGAGCTGAGTTCAATTCCATATGCACAATTCACACATGCTATGAACTTTAGATTTCACATTCATAAAATGGAGATCAAAATGTCTATATCACATGGTTTTTGTGGAGGATTAGATGGGTAAATGCATGCCTACTGTCCATCATTGTGCCTGGGACATAACAGGCACTAAGATATTGGTGTGTTCTCCATCCACACATGGCAGAAGCATTAATGAATAACAGTAGCACAATTATAAACATGAAGAGTGCAAAAGGCTACCATGATGTTTTTCTTTTCACAAAGGAAAAAGTAATTTTCTAATTTACTCCTACAGAGAATGGTGGGAAAAGAACTAGATTGAGATCTAGTTTCAGGCCTGCCATTTAGTATATATATGATCTTTTTAGTCTATGGCTATTAATACTCCTCCTGCCCACAGGAAAAGGAGGCAAGAATAATTAACAAAAGGCAGTATGTGACCATATATGTGATAGCATAGGTTTATGAGAAGACTATGTTCATGGAAGTTGTGATTACTGTATCTAATTGTTATTTTTGTTGTTAAAGCTTCCTTCAGCTTTGTAGACAACAAATTCAAACAAGGAATAACTTGTAACTTACATATAATAATCCACAACATATACAAACATCTTTTAAAATCCAGAATTATTTTTAATAAAATAATGTGTCTATTATATGGGGCTTCAAAATACTTTAGAAAATGTGGAAAATACAAAATGACTAAAAAATTTAACTCATGCATACTGCTACCACCCAGAGATATCCACTATTATGCTATTAGTATATTTTCTCTTTGTCTTTTTTTCAAGGTACATATAGATTAACATTAATAACATATTGTTAATAAGATTGTATACAGAGTTTTAAATTCTATTGTATTCCCTGCTAATATTACATGGTGTGCATTTTTCTATCAACTATGTTAAATAAGGTTATAGACTGGTAAATTTGGTCCTAAGCTTAATAATAGTCACAGGTGTTTTTAAAATTAAAAGGCTTGGTATGTTTAAAGAGATATACTCTTGAAGACTTCATGTTGATTTGTTTAGATCTTGGTTACAAAATTTAAAACTTAGTGGAAAGAAAATCTGCTTATACTTCATATCCCCTTGATACTGCTAAAATGAAATAAAATGAATTTTG